GAGAGGCGTTTTTTAAAAAGAAAAACCCTGCAGGCACCCAGCAACAGGGGCTAGGAGCTAGGAACCTGGAAGTTAATTACTTCTGGGTTCACTGACGAACCGGCAGGAACCCACCCCTGGTGATGTTGCATCCCTCACTGTCTGTTGAGAGAGGTCTGTTCAATTTTAACATACTGTAGATGTCCTCTTTGACCTCTCTTTCAAGCCAGTGGTCTTCTCTCTGCAAAATGTGGACTGCTGTCTTCAAAAGAGTGGCCTTTGTCTTTTAAATGAAGAAGGACTGATGAATCTAGTCCTGATGGGTTTGTTCTCCTATGTTGTACCATGCATTTAGGAAATAGTTGCTTTGTTTCCCCAATGTACAGATATGCACATGGCTCACTGCACTGTACTGCATATACCACGTTGCTCAGTTTGTGTCTGGGTGTTTTATCTTTGGGCAGGACAAGCTTCTGCCTTAGTGTATTGTTGGGTTTGAACTTTTCCAATATTTCTGCATTGCATGGAATGACAACGTTGCTTTGTTTATTGTTCTCTTCTTTGTCCATTATGAAGGAGCTCCTGTTGGGTCTGCATTTTTTCCTCTTAACTATTATTTGTTTTGTTCAGTAGTTGATCCCCCCACCCCCACCTAGCACTATATCTTATACAGTATTTTCTTTCTATTTACCACTACCAGGCAGCTATATCTTTATCTCATCTTACTGTCTTGAGCATTATATACTTTTTAGATCTTTTACTGTGTTTGATTCATTTGTATCCTGCCTCTCTACCAGGGGATTGGAATGGCAGTTATTCCAAATTATAGTTGATAGTGGAATATGTGAGAGAGCAGCATTGGATTTCCTGCTTTAAGCAATGAATTCAACTACCTATTCTAGTATTTCCACATGACTAAGATATAGGCTTGTTGGATGTCATATGTGATCTATTTTCTTGATTTCTTTCATATGGTGACTAGTCGTTTAGAAGTAGTTCTGATCAATTATTTAAAAAATTATCTTCATTTATATTTTTCTACATTTTAATGAGTACTTCTACAATATTTTTTCTATATTTCTAGAAATTTGGTGGCCCTATTCATGATAGATATAAGGAATATGAAGAAAGACCAAAAGCTTTATTTGATTTAGAAAATAAACTCCAGACGCTTATGAAAGCTCTAGAAGAATACGAAAATAAGGTAGGTCAGTGCATGTACTTTTAATAATAATTATTCAGAAATAATGTACATTATATGGGCATTTTCAATAAATGTATATAAAATTGAAATCTAATTCTCAAAATTAGATGTATCAGATAATTTGGGCTTGTGATATTAATACTCTACCTCCACTTGAAACAGGAATTTCTAAAGCCAAACAATAAATAAGGTTGTATTTTCACATTCCTTTAAATAGATAATTATTATCTCGCTTTAACAGAATGTTTTTTTTTTCAAGTAACAAATCTATGAAATCAACTCTTCTACCATCCATTATGGGATAAACCTATTGTTTATTATTTATTGAATGCTAATTTTAACTATTTTCTCTGTAGGATAAAAAATATGATCACATTGATCCTGTTGATATGGAAAAGGTTGAAAAATTTGCCAGTGAAACTATGAACTGGTTGAGCTCAAAGATGCATATACAGCACAGACTGAGTTTGACACAGGATCCTATTATTAAGATGGCAGAAATAAAAGCAAAATCTAAGGTAAATTAACTTTGGGATTGAATTATTCTAATGGAAAAATAGGATGAATTAGCCCAAGAATATGGTAGTTTAGTATTTCAAATGATATCAGGACACAAATATGTTGTGGCAAAAGAGAACTATAGCAAATAGATATTTCTTAAGTTTCCACAGAAATGGATATGGTGTAGCTCAATCTGCTATACCTCTTCATATGTAAATAGGGTTTTCTAGGTGATGATGTTATCCTACCTTTTTATATAGGCAGTGAATATACCTTACTCTCCTGCCTCCCATCCCCCCCCCAACAACCCTATGAGGTGTGTTGGGTTGAGAGAGAGACTGCTCCAAATTATCCAACTGGCTTGCATGCCTAGCGGAGGCCTAGAACTTACACTATCCTGATTTGTAGGCCAGCACTTTAATCCCTATCCCAAACTAGTTCTCAAGTGTTAAATTCAGATGATAGCATAGCAAATATATTTAAATCAGGAGAATATGGTTTGATCCATGACTTTTTTTTTATTCCATTGACAGAAGAGGTTTCTATTATTAATCTATTAAAGCTAAAAATGTTCATCTACCATGTTTCCCTGAAAATAAGACAGGGTCTTAATTTTGTTTTGACTTCTGAAATAATCCTTGGCCTTATTTTCAGGGAGGTCTTATTATTTTTGAAGTGCAGGAGGTGGCGAGCTTGGTCACCTCATGGCTGCTGCTGTGTTGCAATATTTTTTGGAAGAGCTTATTTTGGAATCAGGGATTATTTTAACACAGGTGCTCAAAAGCCTGATTGGGCTTATTATCCAGAGAGGGCTTATTTTTGGGGAAACAGTAATGTAATGTGCTTTTACTGTTGGAAGAAAAAACAGTAAAAAAAAAACAATCCACATCTATTTTCAAAATTTAGGAATATGTAAGGAAGTTTCCTTATTACAGACCACTCATGTTGACTTGTATGTTATTGTGTTGTTTTATATTGTAATTATGGACAATTTCATAATTTTACTGCTAAGCTTATTTCCTGTATTTTACATTGTAATAAATTTCACAGGCCATTATGTTATTTGCATGGTAATTATAATTATTTTTCCTAATAGGAACTGGACAATTTATGTAATCCAATTATTTACAAACGTATGTCCAAAGCAGAACCACTGTCTAAAGATGAAGGAAAATCTAATAGTGAACAAAACAGGCCAATGAATGGACAAAGCAGCTCTGATACTAAGTTAGACGATAGTTGCCAGCAGCCTAAATCATCTGAAGAAATGGACATGGACTAAGTTTTACAATTCTTTGAGTTCATTAAAAACAGTGCAAGTAATCAGAGGGTCCTTTTTTTCTTAATTCACACTACATATGTTGTTATTTTAAAAACTTTATTCTTTTCAGAAAGTGTTTTTCTACATTCTCATTGTTCATTCCATTAAGCTTATTGTGAAGCTTTAGTTGAATGTAGATTGTAATCAGTTTAAGCTTATGATATTTTATATCAGAATGGATACATTCTGATACATCAGAATTGATACATAAATGACAACAATCTACCTTATTCAAAGCTTTTATTGTAAGCCACTGCTCCTTTATTCATGAAAGACCACTGTATTGCACTTTCGATGCTGAAGTGTAGATTTTTGCATCTTTATTTTAGAAGATATTCAGTTTGACGTGGCTTGGACACTGCCACCAGAAGCACTGATCTTTTTTAAATTGTTGTATTGTTCTAATTTAATATTAAAATAGAGTTTAGTTGGCAAACTAGTTCATCTTGTTGATGTACCACAAAAACCTGTAAGAATTTTGTTGATCAATATCCAAAGCTTGAAAGGACCTTACACCAGCAGCATTCTTTGTCAGCAAACTAGTAACAAGATTTAAAATAAAACTTGTGGTCCCCGTGTTCACACGGTCCTGTATCATATTTTGTGTTGATGCCGAGATGCTCTTAATGTAATAGTATGAAATTGGAACACTGTAACGAGAGAGGCACATGTGTTCATTTCTCTTAAATACCTCTGACCTAACTGGCTTGGGTTTATTCAGAATGCTGTCTTTGACTGTTTTTACAAAATGCCCTTCTTGGAATTAAACGTAAAAAATACATACATAATATATTTCATCAATTAATATTACTTACACACTATTCCTTATTTTTGTTTTACTTGGCAAAAATAATATTTTTGGTTTAGAGATTGGGCTTACAGCAAGTTCATAATAGTAATCATTTTAGGTAATTGTCCCAAGCATTTATAGAATAACATTTGATATATCTTTAACAGATAGATAAAACAAGCTACTAACATTTAAGATTAATATCAGTACAGATGAATCTAAAAAATAATCTTACAACATGCTCACACTGCTTAGCAATTACATTGTTTTAATCAAAGTAATCATGTGGAGACTGAGAATCCTTCACTGCTCATTCCAATTTTTGGCTGAAAAATTATGACAAAATGAATGTGTGCTTTTGCAAAAATCTTGTACAGATTTCTGTTCTTTTTATTCCACATATAAGTTGATTTGCTAAATTATTAAATTTTAGATTTAACTGACTAGATCCTAAAGAAGAAATCAATTTGTTGCTGCTGGCAAAAAAAAATTCTTCAGCAACCAGAGACATTGTTTTGTCATAAGAGGAATTATGTGTTCTTTTTCTGATTATAGCATGTGTTTTAGTATATCATATTCATATTGGTGTGGTATGGTAGACACTGCCTTCCCATCTGTCCCAACTGATTAAAAGAAGAGTAACGTACTTGCCAACTACTGTTCAGTCAGCCTATTCTGCCAGCCACTGGATTATAACCAAATTGATTTGGAATGTAGCATAAATAACTGAGGATAGTTTACTAATGAGAACCCACTACATAAAGCATTAAGAGCATTTTATATTATTTTGGCTTCTACTGTTTATACAATCAATTTTGTACAAGCAGAAATTATAGAAGCCTTTTGGGGTATATAGTCTTTACCTATGTAAACCTGTGGTAAATTTTGAATATATATTATAATAATATAATATAATTTTGTATATTAATTCAGTGTATGGTATAACAGGTCTACATTTTATGATTTATTTTAAATGTTTTGGTTTAGGGTATGATGCATCTGTATAATGATTTATTATTTTATGTTAGCTATATTTTAGTTGATGGATTTTTGATGGATCAGGAAAGGGAAAGACGTATGTCACCTTTCTGTTTAAATACTCACTTGACATTGGACTGGAGAATTAATTTAAAGTGCAGTATAAAATTATCTGATGGGATATTAATACAAAAAAGCACAATAGTATATGAAAAGTATATAGAGCATTCCATATTGGGAAAATGTCCACTTATGATTAGCATGGTACATATAATATACAAGAAAAAGTTGCTGAAATATTAACTTAATGACTTGTAATGACACGAGTTTTTATGGTATGGAACCCTTTTCATTAGTTGCATGAAGTGCTACCCTTACAAGGATAGATATGATGTAAATAGAGACATGTAAAATGAAGTTAAATAACAATGACATGAAAAAGCTGCAGTTTATGGCACTTCCAGTGTAGGAAAAATAGTTTTCATAACTGTAATAGATGCTAATGAAAAATGCTTATGAGTGTAAGAAAATCCTAAAGGCATACTTTGTGCAAGTGCTTCGCAGTTTCATATGGATTGTTTCCCCACCACATTTCGAAAACTGGTTTTCTTGTCCTACACTGTGTTAAATTCAACAAGGATAAGTTTGTTAACTATTATTTATTAAGGGATAACTATTCTGAATACATTTTCTTAGCCAGGGACAAAACCATCTTGCAAAACCTTATTAGATTCTATTTACTATTACATAAGAATTCCAGGAGATGCTAAACCTACCAATGATTGGCTAATATTTCATCTGTAGAATTAATTCTACTCTTTTCTCATTCCTGATATTGGTATATTTGGACATGGGCAATTTAGTGTTACAAAAAAGCCTTGATACTACCTGGTTTTATACTATCTATGTGACCAATTGTCTTACAATAGAAATTTGATTAATAAACTTAATTATATTAGCTAATTTTCATCAGCTCCCACTGTTTAGTTGTTTAGACACCCCTAACTTCCTCCCATTTCCCCTTCACGTGCTATCAAATTATATTTAATGCTTGTTTACATAATAACAGTAATGCAGTAATTTCTCTCTAAAATAATTTGAAAAATACAATCCATTTTAATAATTTTTCAAACTACCCTCAAACTAAATTGGACTAAAACTCAAAATATTTTTATGAAAATATAAAGAAGTTAGGTTGAGGGAAAGAGAAACATGAATGGCCAGGGCTCCTAAAGGGCAATTAGAAACTTGCTTGCTTTTCTCTCTCTTGTACACAGCCAAAACATTATACATGCCTTAGAGGTTCTTCTATTGTCAGACTTAATAAGCAAAAATTTTACAGATAAACCCAGCTTAGATGAACTCAGGTCTTAGCTGCCATTTGCTTATTATGGAGGGTATAAGCTTGCTAAATTACAATGGTTAATTAGAAAGAAAACATTTTAAGTCTGAACTATGGAAGATGATCTCATACATAGTTTATGCCCATTTGATGATGTGCTAGTTTTTAAAAATATGATCTAAATGGACACACTTCTCATGATGGTATTGAACACAGATGGGGGAGTGGGGCGCTTAAACATACTCCATTTGAAAGAAACACTTAAATATTAGCAAGAAGCTGAACTGAAGTCACCTGCCATTGTGAAAGTGATTAATTCAACAATTTTTGTATTATCTAGCAAATATTGCCCAGTGAAACAGAGGAATGTTCTAAACTTGAATAAATCTATAGGTGTTACCAAATGTTTCCTGTATATGTAAACATATGGAATCTTTCATAGCGATATGCACAAATTGACAAATATGTCAACTGACTTCTAAGTAGCAATACAAATTGCTAGAGATTGTATGTAATATATTTTATTAAATATTTAAATTTACTTCTTAAACCTCAACTAATTGTTACATAAGACTTTATTGCTGTTGGTTTCACTGTTCTACAATTATGACTTTTTCTGAATTGGATATCTGTGATGGGAGTAATATTCTAGAGTCTAGGATGACCAAGTTCTTCAGAGGCTAAAAAAATTGTAAATATTTAAATTTTTTATCTATTAGACTTTCTGCTGAAATGTAAGAAGCTATTACAGCATTATCTATATTATTAATTTATTTAGATTTATTTATCACCCATTTCACTTTGAGGTGACTGAGCAGCTTAACAAATATTAAAAACCAATTAAACCATGAACAATAAAAAAATCCATAACTGTAAAATTTATTCAGCAACAGTAATTTTCAAATATAGTCTGTTAATACTCAATATACAGTTGAAGAGACAAAGAATTTATAAACCTTATATAAATCTGAATGTTTTGATCTGAAATATAAAAGATCTGTTTTAAAAATAAATATTTTAAGTCATGATAGAATAAAAATAGTAGAGAATAAAGCCAAATTAAATTTCAGTTGCCACTATATGTTGGAAAACCATAAGTTTGAGTATATTTTATTCAACAGCAATGATGAGCTATTTAGGTTTTCTTTATAAGCTGTAGAATGTTTCATCACACTGCAAGTTTCAAATCATACCATTTATCTTGGTAATTGGTATCTTGGTAACTTTTTCCCCCTTTAGAACAGAATGACAAGAACTTCCAATTCCACTAGAAAATGGAATAACATGCAACAGCTATGCCATTAAAAATAAAGCACAAATGCAGGTTAAATTACTGCAGAACAATAATTAATTGCAATATGTGCAGCAGCATATAGCTAATCTTGAAAGTGAATCAAGATGGCCAGGCAGGACTGACTGTCAATAGGGCAATCGATAAGGGAATCTAGATCTAATACTTTCCTATGAGTACTAAGCAAACTGCTTGGATCAGCTTCAAAGTCCTACCCTTAAAATGTTAGGATTTTAGTTTTCTTGCAGACAGTTCATTACCAACCTAAGTAACATTAACAGTACTTTGACACAAAGAAGTGGGTTTGTTAGCTTTTCATATGTAGCAGCTTGTCCTACTTGTCTTAATAGTTTGCGTTTGTGATTGGCCTATCTAGCTTTGTTGGCTATATTGTTTTATCTTGCATTACTCCTATTTGTTGATCCCCTTTCTTTACACCAGAAAACCCTACTCCCTTGTGTCGAAGTACTGACGACACTAGTTTGGTAGTGAAATAGTTTCCAAAAAGAAATCCAATCTTGGCAAAGACCAATATTTCAACTCTGATGTACAACTATGCATTCACTATTATTGCAACGTTGTCTTGTGCAAGTGTATCTACTGCCTATATTACATTATTCTGAAGCCTACATTTACTTGTTAATTGATTCAAAGCTGTTATCTAGATTAACACCATTTTTTATTCTTTTAATTATTGATAGGATTCACACAGCACACTAAAGCATGCTTCATTTAAAGATTTATGGTTTAAACTGCAACTCACTGGGTTAATTCATGTCACGATATAAGTCAAAATAGCCAAATTCACCAGTGCAGTAAGAAAAAATAAATTCACAGGATAGTTTAATGTAACATGATCCAATCATAATAATACTCAGTATATGAATCCACTATTGAGCACTGGTGTAATGCGCTGTCTCCCTCGGCTAAGAAACGGAGATGAACACTGCCTCCTAGAGTTGGACAGAACTAAACAGAGAAAAAATTTACGGTACACTTCTCAAATATATAAGCACCACCTTTTTCTTGAACTGGTTCCAATAACACTTCTACAACAATTGTATATAAATTACAGAAATCCAGCTATCCATTATATTTACACTATCTAGCTATATTAGCTACAATGTCTGGAGCACTACATTCTCCAATTTTATCCTCATAACACATAGCTGAGATAGATTAATCTTAGATTGGGTGGGATCAATACAAAAATAATAATTTCTGGATTAGCATGTTTATATAGTATGGTAGTTCAACGTACCTTGGCTTGACACAAGAAGTTTGAAGACTGAAGGTAAATGAATAGGGGAAGCACAGAAACAATGAAAGCAGCTTTCAAAGTATGCTTATAAGTTTCCTTCCAGTATTTGGACGGCCCCTGCACGAAGTAGTTGCTGAATAGCCAGCTAATATATTTTGGCTGCGTTTGCTCAGCACGCATAATCCTTTAGTCGCAAAAAATTCCATTCTCAGCCAACAACTCCATTCTTATCTTATGGTTTATCGCGTTGGGTAAATCTAATAAATTGGGAACACTACGTAAACTAGTAGTAGATGTGTTGTATGACTATAACCCTTTTTTTTACAACATTTATTTACAACAGCTCCCTCGGCTATAAAACCCGCCGTTCCGTTAAAGCAAAAAATGACTACATCCCCCCTCCCTCCCGCGCGTGCGCTTTGTTCCCCTTTTTTCGACGATCATAAACAGTCCAGGGCGCACGCGCTCCTCTCAAGGAACCAGAGAGAGGAAATGACGTGTGACGTCAGACGCAGCTTTTCTGGGCGAAGTTTGCAACGGGCGCGATTTTTCAAAATGGAGCCCCGCAAGGGAGTTTCTCCCCGACCCCCATAGTGGGGAAGGACAGGCCTCTGGACCGACAACCGTACCGACAAGGACGCAGACTAGGCGGTCATGCGATAGCGGTAACGGATTACACGAAGGAGTGAGAGCATCGCCTTCACCATGGCGACCTGCATCGGCGAGAAGATTGAGGTGCGGAACGGCCATTACACTACGGGCGGGGCGGACAAAAAGGATGGACCTGGCCATTCACTCCTTGGGGAAAGATCCAACCATTATTCGGTTGAGGGGAGGGAGGTTTTTTTGAGTGATCCAGTAGTCCCATCTAACCTATCATGACAGATGCTGCGCAAAAGTATCACCCTTGCAGAACACAATTGACGGTCAATTATTACCGACTCGGGTCCCTTTCCTATATAAGAGATATTTCTAGAGGTTCTTTGTGGAAAAGGACTTCATTCTGTCTAGTCCCGCATAAAGGGATAGTTCGGCGTGATCCCAAAACTGTTTTATTAAGATTGACTCCAAGTAACTTCCTGGACGCGTCTCTGTTTTCTAGTCCGGAAATGATTGCCACTGCTTTTCTTCGGAGATGCTTTTTTAAACTTCCGAATCTCAACCTGCTTAACATCTTTGGGATCAGTCGAGATCAAGTACACTACCCTTTGTAAATAAAGCAAAATGTGCCCACCATTTCCAAAATTTTAAACCTTTGGGTTTAAGATAAACAATGGAAACAACGCAGTTTAGTTATCCAGTGCAAATTATCCCATCTGGAAAGCATTCATAGTAACATATGCCCATGGCCTAATTGATTGTAGAAATACTTTATGAAGCTTGCTTCAATTTTTCAACAAGTTTAGATAATTGTAAATTACATCTAACATTTCTGTATACTAAATACAGAGTTCTACAGAGTTCCATATGAAGTAAGCCATTTTGTTCAACTATGGTTTGTTGAATAAGTTATAAGTGGTGTATAAATGATTCTCTGGTCAAAGTCAGGTTTGATTTCTGGTGAATTCATGGACACTTCTGTATTGTTGGGATTTTTTTATTATTTTTGCAACAATAAAGAAGTGGTTTACCATTGCTTGATTTCCTAGTTTAAGCTAGTCTTGATATTTTCTGGAGCTGTCCTATCCAAGTATTGAGCAGGCCTAATCTTGCTTAGATTTTTAATCCTGCTAAGGTCAGCTAGGTAACTTCAATCATCACAATCTTACCTTCTTAGAGGTAAATTACTGTACACTAACTACACTGAGCTACAAAGCATTCAACAATATAGTCCAACAGGTTCTGTAGAACTAACTGGTATGGTTAGTTTATAGTTCAGTATGCCTCAGAAAATTGGATTGAGAAATCTACAGTTAAGCCTTTTGTAAACAATGGAAATACTCAATACTTTGAGTGGATATGGACTACAGCTTCGAAAATCATGATCCTGAATTTATAGTTACAGTTCAATACAGACTTACCTAGAAGTTAATCCAGTCAAATATTATGGAACTAAATTATTTGCTACCAATTTAGTTCAATTACAAGGCTGCCTTCCTTAGCCATGTACCATTGTTTCAGAGTCTAATAATGAATAGCAGACAGAAATGTAAGCAGAAATTGCTTTCAGTGTTGAAATTCTTATGCCACTTATGTGTAACACTTCCGATTCCATTCCAAAAGGGTCTTTGAAAACCAAACACCTCAACTCTCTGGAACAGCTTAAAGCAGCTACATGCAATGCCAGGAAGACACATAACTGCTTAAGAGTATTACAACAGGTGCTCTATTGCCTACACATTCGGAGCACCCCCTCCCTCACTTTTTTATGTTGAAAACCTCATTGCTTGATTAAGCATTACAATGACTTTCCAAGTGTAAGTCTGAGTACATGGTAGCTTTCCTACCTTCTCCGATCTATTATTTCTTTGCATACAGTACAGATAGAACCCGACTTATGACAATTGAGCCCTACATTCTTAACACTGGTACACCCAGGGTTGTGTGTTGAGTCCCTTACTCTATATTCTTTATGTGCATGACTGCATTTCCACTACCGCCAGTAATACTATTACTAAATTTGCAGATGATACAACAGTGGTGGGACTAATCTCGGTGGGGGAGCGGGGGTTGAGTCTGCCTATCAAGATGAGGTGGAACGGTTGCTTTTAACTTGGTCGTCCAAGGAACTTATAGTGGACTATAGAAGGAATAGATCCAGCCCTTGGTTATCAATGCAAACAGAGTGGAGTAAGTGGCCAGTTTTAAGTTTCTGGGTGTTATCTTAAAAGAGGATCTGACCTGGGGTAGTCACATTGCAGCACTGTCAAAAGGGCCCAGCAGAGAATATACTAACTGAGACTTCTCAGGAAACAACAACTGACTGAAAAAATAGAGAGTATTTTAACTTACTGCATCTGTGTATGGTTTGCCAATTGCACAGTGGCAGATAGGACAGTACTCCAAAGGGTCAACGTCATTGCCCAAAGATCATTGGTTGCCCTCTCCCCTCTTTGGAAGAGCTTTGTAGCTCCCACTGTCTTAAGAAAGTTCAAAACATTCTTAAAGATACATCACATCCTGGGCACTCTTTTTTTGAACTATTACCATCTGGCAGACAGGACAGACAAGGACAAATAGGCTGAAAAACAGCTTCTATTCCAGGGCAGTAAC